AATTACGATTTGACTGCCTTTGAGAATAATATTACCATATACAGTGAGCTCTTGTTTGATTTGCTTGAATGTTTGCAGTTCTCGTTTCTTCCAAAACAAGGAATCATCTTCTAACAAGGCCTTTTTCAGTAGCTGCAACTGAAAATCATCTTTCATTGCATTTTCGATTTCTTCAAGTGAAATTGTGTTTGGTAGTGAATGATTGGTTACAAAAGCTACGTATTCTTCACTTTTATCATATGCTTCTGGTGGGCTGTATGTTGGATGACGAGATAAATAATCAGACGGATTTGTTATGCCTCTTTGGTATTGAACTGTAAATTTATAAGGCTGAAGTTTTAAACAAAGTCGTTCAATGCGTGCGTTTGGAGCTGATCGAGGGTTCTGTAGGATTGAGACCAAGGGTTTGTGGTCTGTGTGTAACACAAAGTGACCTCCTAACACGTATATTCTGAAGTGATGTATGGCCCATGTTGCTGCTAATGTTTCTTTCTCTATTTGACTATATTTCTGTTCGGTCAAAGTTAATGTTCTGCTAGCGTACGAAATAACTTCTGTTTTGTTGTTAAGTTCTTGCGAAAGGATCGCTCCAAGTCCTATGGGACCAGCGTCTACATAGAGGTGCGTCTTTTTCTGTTGGTCAAAATAGGCGAGGTTTCGTGCTGATTCTAGTTGTTTCTTAAGATCATTAAAAGCGCTGTGATGCTTTTCAGTCCAGTCCCATTGAGCATCTTTTGTAATCAGCTCACGTAATATTGCAGTATTTGTTGCTAAGTGAGGCAGGAACTTTCCAACATAATTTAACGTTCCTAGGAAGCTTCTTAGTTCATGTACGTTTCTGGGCGGTTCTAGGTTAGAGACAGACTTGACTTTGTCTGGATCAGGGTAAATGCCTTTGCTAGAGAATACATATCCAAAGAAATCGATTTTGTTTGTGTTAAAAATGCATTTCTTTGTGTTCATTGTCAAATTATGGTTATCCAAACGTTCTATTACTTGCTTGAGAGTCTTATCATGGTCTTGTTGAGTTGTTCCAAAGATTAGTATATCATCGCTGATGTTTAACACACCATCTATTTGGTTTAACAGTTGTCTTATTGTGTTTTGAAAAATCTCTGCAGCGGAATTTATCCCAAAACTCAGTCGTTTATATTGATACAAACCAATATGTGTTGAGAAAACTGTTATATACCGTGAAGATTCTTCTAATGTTAGTTGGTGGTAGCCATCTTTCAAATCAATCTTTGAGAAGACTGTTGCGCCATTTAACTGGGCAAATATTTCTTCAATAGTTGGTGTTGGATGCCTTTCTCTAAGTATGGCTTTGTTAGCCTCTCTCATGTCTACACAAATTCTGATAGAGTTAGGATCGTGATGTTTGGGAACTACAACTATTGGTGAAACCCAGGGAGTTGGTCCTGTTGCTTTTTCAATGATGTTTTGTTTCATCAGTCTTGTTATCTCTTGTTCAACTGCTTCACGAAGATTTATTGGAATTTTCCTGTGTTTATTTGCTACTGGAGGAATTGACTCATCAATATGTAGCTTGACAGTTTGGTTCTTGAGACAACCTATGCCATTACACAAATTAGGATGCTTGTTTTTGATATAGTTCATGTCCATAGGTTGATATATCATCATAGATAGTTGTATCAGCTGCAATTTGTTTGCTGTATCATAGCTCAATAATGATTCACTGTTGCCTTTTATCACAAATACATCTGCTCGCGTTTGGTGGTTGTTATAATGGAACAAACCTTTGAATTTTCCAACTACTTCTAACTGTTGTTGACAGTTGTACGGGAGAATCGATGAGGAATCTGGTTGTAGCGACTGCTGATGAAATTCTTTAAATGTGCTTGAGCTTATCAGATTAACAGATGAACCAGTATCTACAATGAAATTGATTACTTTCCCATTCAACTTAACATGTACCTGAGGGCATTTCATGGCTGTTCTGTCATTTGGACGAATTGTTGTTTTGAAAGATGTCTCAGAATTAGTTGACTCTGGCTCCATATTAAGCTCATTAAAGCGAATTTGTGCTCTGTTCTTCCTCTCTCCATTATGTTTCTTGTTTATGCTAGTATTTGTGCCATGGTTGTTGTGCTGGGGGTTTGCTCGTGATTGTGCTTGTTGCTGTTGTGTTGATGTAGTGGACATGCAGACTCGGGCGTAGTGTCCTTTCTTGCCACAACTTCGACAAATTACATTTAGAGCAGGACAAGCTCTCCTCCCATTTGGATGCCATTTGCCTCCACAATTTTTGCAATTGTTCTTGCTCGTACCACTGTTGGCTGGTGCGGTTCTGTGTTGCGTTTGTTTGTTTAGGTAGCTACATTCTTCTGTGCTTGTGTTCATGACAATCTTGTCTTCAATGACCTTCAGTTGATTAGCTGTGCACTCAATTGTACGTGCTCTGCTCAATAGATCATCGAGATTGGGTTGTTCAGTGAGTCCATATCGACGTAGTTCTGTGTACTTCGTGTTCATGATGATTTGAAGTTTGATTTCTTCATTTGGGTTTTCAAATGTGCAAGTCTTGGATAGTTTCAGTAACTTTGCGTAAAACTGATCAATTGTTTCATTCTCGCTCTGTCTGGTTTGCCTAAAATTAAACATTTCAAATTCTTTGTTGACTCTAGGGGTGAAATATTGTTTGAGCTTTCGTTTAGCTGTTAGATAAGGTGATTCATTGGGTTGTGCTGTGTTTGCTGGTAGTTCAGGAAGTGACAAATATAAATCATGAACTTCTTCGCCTGCGTAGTGGAGAAACATGGCTTTCTTTCGGTCTTCATTATCGATGCCTGCAGCTATGAGATAGTTGTCAAAACGGTTGAGCCACTTTTCCCACCTTGAGCCAACGTTATTGGGGTCTTCTGCTATATGAAATGGAGGTACTGGTGTTGAGTGGTTGTTCATGTTCTGTTATCTTTTCCTCGATTCGTTTGTTGCGAACCACGTGTTGTGTTGAGGTTATGTTTTTCTCCTGTTGTCTGTTTTGATGTTCTGAGTGTTCGTTGTTTTTCGCTTCGTTGGTCTTCTTCTGAGTTCTTTTAATACTCGTCGCCAAAATGTGATGTCTTGTTTGGGGTAGGTAATATTGTTAGTTTCTCAAATTACACGAGCTCGTTTTTCTAACTTATATATTCTGTCAACTGTCATTCTCTATCTCTTTCTTAAGCTAGTACATTACATAAACCTCACGTAATTCTGTTAGCTTTGCAATTTTTCACCTCATTAACTTCAGTAATTTTCTTTGTTGTATAATTTAAACTGAATGTAAATAGTCATGCTCTGCAGTTCCTAACCTCACGTAACTTTTTATCTACACAAGTTTTACTTCACACCAGATTTGTTTTTTGTTTTATAAATCTTTGTTAGTTTTTTTTTTTTGTAAATATTTAGTTCATAAATGTTTCCTTCATATAACTTGTCTGATGTCCAATCTTAATCTCAGAAAAGAATTCTTTGCTGTTTAAAAGTTCGGTCGTAGTTTTTATCGGAGTTATAGAAATTGAACATTTAAATGGAATAAATAACACAAGAACACGTGGCGGAAGCGGAGTGCGCGGTTCCTTGTTGAGCTGGTGATCGTGTCATCTGCTCAAAGGATGCAAGCCTTGAATAGAAGTCAGGGGTGGTCGGGATGACGTGACGCTGTCGGCTTGTCCCAATAGCCGGGACCCAACCACGAGTTTCCGACCGTAACGGCCTGCTCGTACGACATTTCCCTGATAGAGGGGTGCTGTGCGGCAGTGTTTGCCGATAGAATAGAATCATCGTCGTAGTGGGAGAACAACCACAACCAGGAGCCCAAACTCCGCTGGGGCTACAACGCCTCCTACGAGTATTTTTTGCTTGTCTGCACAAACACTCTTACAAAGGTGCGGAACGGGTTTTCTTACATATTAGTAACAAAACAGAATTTGCAAGTAGATAAGATTCGAGCTTGAGCTCCTTTGTTAAAGAGGTCGAAACGGGCTATGTATAAAAATGGAAACTCTTTGTACGATACGTATATTGCATTTTCAACTGCAGGAAGATTTGTTAACTTAATGATTTCACTGATTTCAGTGTTGGTAGAGACCTGTCAAGAGCATGGGAGAACAATTCGTTGAAAATTCCTAAGGAGTCACATTTTAATATAATTCCGCTATACGTTGTTTCAGCGATAGTTTTCAATGTTGATAAGTCTGTTTGATTTCTGGTGAACTAGTTCTTCAAGCATATGCGTCATTTTATACAGGTGACTGCATTAATTTGAAATTTGTACTCCCGAGGTCCGCGTTTGATGTTCGAGTTTTTAACAGTGGCCTTCGCAAAAAATGCCCCTTAGCCCCGGACTTGTGAAGGGCCGCTTTAGGAGGTAAAAGGGATTTGAGGAAACTTCGCGAAAATGGGATTACTGTAACAATTCGTATTGGATGGGGTTTCCGGTGTTAGGGACGCATACCTTAAGGGCAGAGGAATGCCCGGTCGTTGAACTGAGCGCCTGGACAACCGAAAAAGGAGAGTCCGATTGAGCAGAAGCAGTTCTATGTTTACCGGGTAAGTAGGTGTATAATCGGTTGATAAAGCATGGCAGTACGAGGGCAGAATATGATGCACACGTATAATTAACTAGGACAGTAATAATTTACACGATAAAATCCATCTGAACGAGCAGCGAGTTGAAGATCGGGAAAAGCTCGATCGGGCGGTTCTTGGACTGTGCTCTAGGAGGATCAACAACTGATCTAACACCGTTTTTTTTTATAGGGATTTCAGTTCGTGAGAACGAGCTCGAAGATAGTTTTACAGGCATTTTTTGTTGTCAGGTTTGCATCGTTTGATTCGTGGGTGGTAATTTCTACTCATGTTTGGTGGAGGAATGTGTTTTAACTTAATTTTAGGACGTGGATTTGCGAGGTAGTGGAACCTAAGAAATGATTTTGCGCCGTACTAGGGTTAATTTAAGGATCGTTTTTGTAGAAAGGTAAGGTGAGAATAAATAACACTTCTGAAAATGGATATTTACTTACATAACTTCACTATAGATACAATTCATAACACAAAAATAATTCTATATAGTAAAAATAAATAATGCGGTACATTTCTTTACAAAAATGGCGTAATGTACATAAAGAATGAAGCTAAAAGTGGCGGTAAAATTAACATTAATTGTTGAAATTAAAGCGAAGGCCTGTGTCGATGTATATCAAAAGATTAAAGAAACTAAGGAGAATCCCTCGATAAAGATACATTGACATTTATTATAAAGTTACATGAAATATTTAATGAAACACTCATTCGAAACTTACAGTCTTATTACAAGCATCAAATCATGAAATCTTTGGCAGTTATCCTTTATTATACGATGAATATAATAATGTACAAAAATTGTTTTGAACATAGTTAAAGTAACTAGTTTTCTGGACGAAATCGGTTGCTTAAGCAACAGTCCGTCAAAGCCCAAGTATAAACAGCTATTTGATTATAAAAATTGTGTACAATAATCGAAGCTGTTGTCGGTAAAAATTATCCTAGAAAATTCTAAATTTACAGACAACTATTTTACCATTACAAGTTTGACATAAATATGTAAAATATTTTTGTTAATTACGTAATTCTTCTAACATTAAACTGACTTATTATTGTGACATTGTACTTAGCACCACCGAAATGGCAGTATCACTAAACCGACTATCCTGACACGGAACTCATGAGCAAATTTGTCACCATTGAAAAAATTGAGATTTTTGTTAATCCAGATTTTTGGTTATCTTTTGTTCCCATGTTGTTGCTATTGTGCCACGAAAGAAATTCAAATGGAACGAGTTTGGCACAATCAAATCAGCGGTGAGAAAATGGTCAACAACAACCGTAAAAATTATATACAATGTGACTTTTTACACAGTAATTCAAACTGGAATACGTTGTGCAATGGTACTGGTAACAACGAGATCGTCTACAACTCAGACATAGAATTTCACAGATCTTCTACGGAGAATACACCCAATATTCTGTCATATAACATACACTAATCGTTATCTAATGACGTTATACCCGAGCGCTGTTGATGTCTTGGTCGTCTGAGTTTGCTACAACCCGCCCTCAAGGCGGCCGAATTTCTTCGTGTGACGAAACATCAAAAAACGTCAAAAACAATTTAAACGAAAAAGAAAAAATACACCTCTTCTATTGCATTTTTCCACTGCCTGCATTTCCCAAAAAGTCGAAACGAAAATTACAACTCTGTAACAGCGTACAACTGGCGTTCACTCTCACTGTTAGCGTACACAGCCTCGTTATGGGCCTGATCTTGTATCTTGGCCGAGCGAAATTGCGAGTGGTTCGGCTGCGTGCTGGCACCTCTTTGCAGAGATCTGAACTGCATGCCACCTTGGAAGGTGGTGGTGTTGTCTTGCCACGCGCCCCTCTGCAACGACCGGAAGTTCGCCGGGTTCAAGGGAGTCTCCACGCTCTGAGAGATCGTGGATGGTACCTTGGGTACCGGCGGCTGTTTCCGCGCCTTCTCGTCAGGCGTCTGCGGTAACGGTCGTCGCCCTAACGAGCTGAACTTTTGGATGTTGGCTGTGCGCTGTTGGGTTTCTTGCTGTTGCGCCGGTTGACGCTGCTGATCGAACTTAAAACCTATGAAGTTTGGGAAGTCCTTGCAGGCAGCCCTGGAACAAAAAATTAAGTCAATTCAAACTTATGTTTCGCTACAGAAAGTGACAGTTATTTCCGCACATAGTGCATACATATTGTGGCCAACTGCAACGCAAAAAGTTTTTGATCGTAAAGCGTTAAACTTTGTGTCTCGATTGGATAATCCTTTTTAAAATTGAATTTCCACACGTAATATGATCTTCCGGTTCAATTCGCAGATAACCTCGATAGTAGACATGCCATCGAATAATTTGTGAAAGATTTTCATTGAAACTCTCGCAGAACGCACATTATTTAAAAGTCTCAACTCCCAAGAAGTTCGAGTGAGTTCATCGCACTTCTTATAAAATTCTTAAGCACACTTAAGTTGGTATTAAATCGACACGTGATCTTCTTTTAGACGAACTTTATTAATGGAAAATTTGCAGTTATTGTTCGAAATTTTAGGGTAACTAAGTAAGTGGTTGTTAAATTAAGGGAATTTTAACCAGAAGACAATTTGGAATACATTTCACGCGAATTATTCTTACGACATTCATTCCTTTGCTGAGTTTTAATTGTTTTGTCAACGAATGGTAAATAGATGATGAGCCATGGGACGAAAACCGCAATAATTGAGAAATCCTTAATAACTTGAAAACGGAATATGATATGTATATATGACGTTAGTCTAATCTGCTACAATTTCACAAATATTTTTAGACCGTCATTTATAAAGATCAGTACAACAAAGGTTCTACGTTAAAACCTTGTAGTACTTCAGAATTAAATAACTGGAAGATGAAATAATCTCAGTAAGAAGACGAAAGAGAACTGCATAGTAGTCAATTTTGTTAGAAAGGTTTAAGTAGTAGGCGTTCGCCATTCGCTTTACTATCTAGTTGAATATAGAAAGCGGCAATTTATAGAACTGGTAAACACTTTGCTAAAAATTGATGTGCGGAAGCTCAAATTCCACTTTCGGGCGATACTGGCAGCTATTAGAAATACAATGGTTATGGAAAGAAGAGTCAAAGCCAACTAACTTTACTTCACCATTTTACTATCTACTACAAGACATTGTTAAATACATATAAAATTTTACAACCTCACGCTCGAGTCGTAAAAATAAATTAACATTATTCGAAATGAAGTGAGCAAGTGCCAACAAGGCGTAGTATAGTGTTAAATGATAAAACCGCAAGTTTTTGAAGGTATTTTTAATGGCTGCACTTACTCGATGCCATAAATAAACACTAATAAGAAAAGTTTGTACGATATCAGATACGGCAGATTCATTCTAGCTGAATTTTACTACAGTTTTTGCTACAAAAGCGTAATGATATTTAACTAAAGAAATATACAGGATTGTATTCTTTCGTCGTGGATTTGCAAGAGCAAATTGATGATTTTGTGTTATGTTTTATGTTTTCTATGACTCCAATTTTGGAGTATTTATTCTCGGACGTACCTCTCAAAGCGACGTGCGTACCGGACGATATTTTGTGTTTTTGACCATACTGAACATGTGTTACATGCATTTATGTGTTGGGGAATTCGACCCACGATGTATTCTTGCTTCATTAATTTTGCTTTATTGAATTCGGTTGGCTAGTTCGGTCCAAGCCTAGATTGCCAAATTTTTCCTGCCAGTCATATGTTTATTCCCATACCGTATTCCACCAACACGAGATATGCGGAGGGTGTCCTACTGGTAAATAAAACTTTGCTGGGGGTAGCCAGTGTCGTGTGTCACGGGGTGGATGGAGTATAGTTTTGCGGAATAATACTTGAAGTAACTGCCTCAGGCGCCAGCGCACACAGCATGGAGATAGCGTGGCGTTTGCGTGGGCATCGCGGCTTGGTTGTACGTAGCTGCGTTAGTGTAAAGAATCAGTTCGATTTAGTTAAATCGTTTTTTTGTCGGCCGTCAAAATATAAAAATCTGCCGACACGTTACCATTACTTTCATTATTTTGCATTACGTCATGACTGTTGAACCAAGTTTCGTCCAAGTAAATTACGTGTTTATTTTCTTTTCGAAATTTTCCAATTTAACAAACATGTTTTTAGCCGTGGAGTTGATTAGAAATTCCACTAGTTTTCAAATATCGCTTAAAATTTATTTTATTTTAAAACAAAGGCATAAGTCACAAAATATTAGAAAAGGAATGTCGGAGTAACATGGCGCATAACCTCAGTACCGTTGTGTCTACTTGACCAAATTGGCACTGTGGCATGGAGACGCAACGTTTTAGAAACTTTAATTTAGTTTTGCAGACCGAGATTCCCACTCGGGTTCCAAAACTTCCCTTCGAGTCTAAGATCGCGCGACTGTCCATTAAACGAATCATGTTATTGACACTTAGCTTCGTTGGAAGTTGCTTTTTCGACCGGACTCTCGTCCTGTTACGATCACCCTCGGTCGTGCTCGAAGATAACAAGCGCAGATAGTCTTCTTCGGTGACGATGACCCCAGTCGATACCGCCTTGGCTCAACTCCTCCTCGTCGTTTGGAACGTTAACGGGGCAATGCACCTGGACTTGGACCGCGACTACGTCGTGGTGTTCACTAACCATCACGACCGGCACTCCACCAAGTGAAACGTTTTAGGAACAAAGTGCCCGACAACTTCCTCTAGATGCAGGTACACCACTGTACCCTACTCATGCGCTTATTCCTTACGGCGTTGACGACAACCCCGCACTCGCGTAACTCTCCAATACTTCCCCTCGAGTCAAGCGTCACGTTCCCCATTCCACGTTGACAAGCTTCAGAAATATTCCCTCTGGATCTCCGGGCTCTCTCTCTCCAAGTAAAACAGTCGGTTGCCGAACGTTGGCGCGTCTTTCCAGTCGACCTTTCTGTTTCTGTTGCGTTGGCTTTATGCCCTGAAGCAATGGAACTCTGAGCTTGCACCTTCCTTGTGCTGTTTCCCTGTTCGGCCCTTGGTCGCTCTAGACCTTTTAGGGATAATTGGCCAGATCCTAGCCCATGTAATCATCCCTCCAGAAATGTAACTTTCCTTGGCGACCCCTTGGATTGGCAAATCTCCTCGAGTTGCATTCAGATGCCTCGCAGTGCTTTACTTGTTTTAGCCCGGTTGAGTTGATGGATAGAATTATGTCCGATCTCCTCTTTACGTTGTTCTTCGTAGTCGAGTTTTTCACATCCGGGTTGGGTTTCTTGCATGTTCCGCTTACGTAGATCCACAAATCGTTCTTCGTCAGCACTGTTTGCATATGAAGCTCCTACGTATTTTCGTTTCGACTCACTCGTTCTTTCCACGTTCGTTTTTTCGCGGTTACGTGTGTCCTGGGCCCCTAACCCGCCAATGCAATCAAGGGAACACAAACGTAATCAAAGCGTATATTAACAATATTAGGTATCCGTTGACGAAGCGTGGTAGTCGCCTTGACGTCAGTACTATTCTGCTGGCTTAACAAATATGGCATCTTCTAGTTGCACCGTAGCCCTCCGCGCCATGTTCTCGAAACTTCCATTAGAGTTTTGTCCACCGAGACTCGGGCTTTCAAATGTAGCTAATGTTCCAACAGTTATTATCCTAATGTGTCTCGATCTTAAAATATGTGGCAAATAGTACCTTTTATGAAATATAAATATATGTCTGTCCTTCTTATGGTCGGGGTTTTTCACAGCAGGTATTTTTTGCTTGCAGTATGGCGATCCTCTTACTGTCATTTGGCTGTCAATTGTCTTGCTGGTAACACGTCCTTCACTGTTTGCCGGTTGCCGGTGACGCTTTCTCGTTGTCTAGAGCTGGAGTTAGTTTTGCGTCTGGAATAGTGTTCTCTTCGGTCCGTTGACTCGATAATTCTGGTACTATCTGTCGTAACCTCAAATCGTAAACACAACAAACTTTCTTTGACAGGTCCTACATTTGATAAAGATAATTATTAGTCTTGCGCTATCTTTGTCTAGCACATAAGTTAGGTTCCTCTCTACTGAACTCCGGCCATAGGTAGAGACCCTAGATATACTTTGGAAAAGAGTTGTGACACGAAACGTCAAAATTAATGGTAAATTTTATTTTACTATGCTGGCTACGGATGTTTTTTTTGAGTCATGTTTTGACACTTTGTAATTGTTATTTAATACATAGACGTAGAAGAGAATAGTCGTCGTCTGTTGTGTACGAAACTGTAAAAATACAGAAGCAAATGGTTTCTCATTGTTTAAATGCCCCGAAAACACTATATTACTTAACAAATGGAGAGAACAGATGCAATATCCATCTTGAAAAATTGGCAAAAGGGCTTACAGGGCTTAGGGTTGTTGTCCAAAACTGTATTTTCCATCTAATCCTTGGTCAACAGGTTCAGTTCAAAAAAGCAAATTTTATATTGCAAGTGAATGCAAAATATGTGAGAACGCAATTCCAACAATTTATAATGTGGCTGAATTTACGTCAAAATGACCGGTTCTTGGCAAAAAAAATGTTATTGATGAACTTCATCAAAAAACTGCAAAACGAAAAAAAGTTACAAGAAAAAATAATGCGGAGTGCTGAAAAAGAAATTAATGTTTTGAAAGCAAAAATTTCTAGTTTAGAGGGGCAAGTGGTAAATTACAAAAATAAGGACGATGCATAAAACAGGACTATAAGAGGAATTTTCAACGAAAACCAAATTCAAAATTGAAGTGTTAAACGTAAACTACCAAAACGCTGGAACAATAAAACAATAGAAGAAGCCATTAAAACAAAATTTGTCTGTGGAACGTCAGGACATAACTATATCTTCTGAATATAAATTTTCCGTTACCTTCAAGTAGAACCCTATGCCGTAAAATTCCGCACATACCGTTTTTACCAGGAGTTTTACATGAAATTTTTACCTATTTAACAATCAAAATTCAAAATTTTAATGACTAGGAAAGAGATTATTGTTTATTTTTAGGCCAAGCAGCAATCAATTCAGGTAAAGAATACTGTCAACGTTCCTCATTACTTTTGGGAAATTACATTAACAAATTTAAATGAAGTCGCTACCCATGTTTTATTTTTTACGTTAG